AAATCGAGAAATTCAATGATTTACTGCCTTAGGGTATCCGACTACGTTCGGAACCGTGATTTTTCATAAGAGTATAAATAGATAATATTTTTGATATTTAGTGTCACTTAGATTAGAAAATGTATATAAAACTGTTCTAAGAATAGTATTACAATAAAAAATTATTTAAGTACAAAATTTCAGCTAAAAATTAACTTAGAATAAATTTTTTTACAAAATTTTCTCCTTTTGTGAAAAATGCTTCTTTTATAACACTATTTTGCCTGTACAAAGCTCAGAGCTCTGTACAGAGGCTCAACTAGAATTTTTGAAATATATAACTTAGAAGTGGGCTTATCCGTGTTTTACGACAACAGGGAGAAATTGTAAGAAAAAATAGCCGATAATTATTTCAAATAATTATAACTCTGAAAATAATAAGAATTTTTCAAAATTCATTGTTGAGCCTCTGTAGAGAGGTCTGAGCTTTATACAGGCAAACTATTATTAAAATAGAAGCATTTTTTACGAAAGAAAATCATTTTGAAAAAAGTTTATTTTAAGTTAGTTTTTAGCAGAAATGCCGTACTTAAATAACATTTTTTTGCCAAAATATCCTTAAAACAATTTTATACATGTGTCCTGATCTAAGTGACACTAAATAACATGAAAATTGTCCATTTATGCGCCTTTTTAAAATCACGGTTCCGAACGTAGTCGGAAGCCTTAATCAATTCAAAAAACAAATGATAAAAATGGTAAAATGTCACAGTAAAGTATAATTTTAATAAAATAATAAATTATCGTTAAAAAGTAAGACATTGTTAAAAAATATATTTAATGGTATGAAAGATAATTGTATCCCATTTTTATTCTTGTCTAAATTTCTACTTATTTCTTATTTATATCATACATGAGACTTGTGCTTCATATAAGAGTTTCTAAACAAAACTCAAAGGTGCAACAGCACATAGAGAGTCAAGGCCTGATATGCTTATTTCAGTTTTCGTGATCCTTGGCACTGTTGTTAATAAACAGACGTTCTGGTCAAGTGGGGAGACTGAAACATCCAGGGTTTAGTTCCCAAACGAGCTTGGTACTCAGTTATCGACCCACTGAAGGAATGAAAGGCCGATTCGACCTTGTCCAGCACGGGTTTGGACCCTGGACCTGCAGCATGGAAACACGCTATGCTACCAGTCAGCCACTAGGTTTCTTATAAGAGTTTCATCGAACAAAAAATTATTTTTATTATGCTTTGAAATAATAGAGATCAGCAGAGAGTATTTTTCTGAAATAATAATTTACTTAAAATGCAATATGTTTATATACTCATATCTTATTCATGATTTCATTGAAAAGTTTCAAGAAAAATCTAATTGTAATATAAACATGTAAAGTATTTTTATACTGTAAAATATTTGCTAAATGCATGATTTGCAATGCGGTTTTAATTAGTAAAAAAAACGGCGCTGCTGAGGATGATAAAATGAATTTTGCCTTTGAGTGGGAAAAGGGCTGGGATGAAGAAGACAGGGTGAACAATATATCTGTAGGAGTAGTTTCCTAAAATCCTATGTCATTTATATTTGTAAATATTGTTGTGTGTTTTAAATTAATAATAATAAATCGTAAATCTCTCTGGTTAATATCAATCATGTTTTCAATCACGACACGACAATTTAACAATATACATAAATATATTAATTTCCATTCGACAATGTTCCATTTATTTGCTTATATTTTAGTGTTCTTATTTAAATTTATATGACAGTTTTAAGACAGCAAAAAATAGAATAAAGAAGATTCATCTGACTTTTTGAAATTTTTCACTGAACAGATTCTCAAATTTCAAAACACAACGTATTATATAATTCAAACCCAATTCGCTTCTGTAAACATCATCCATCAATCCTTGACAACTTGTTTGCGAGAAAAAATTCAGTAATTCTTTCCGTTACTCTCAAATGTCTTCTCTTACAAATTGAAGATAAGTTCACGAAGTGAAACTTCACAACAGTTCTCTTAAACTTATCTTGAGTTTCAAAATAATCATTTAACAGATAAATACAATCAGTAAATATAATCCTTCTTCTTCTATTTGTGCAAGGTTTTTATATCCCATAAGATATTTAAAACACACATTGACCACAAATAGGAAATTTGAAGAATTTTCATAGATACATGTAGCCTTAAAAATATTGATGTAGACAGTAGATAGGAAATAATATCCCTCTTGGAAATTTTTGAATAAGCCTTTAAATAATATGTTCTTAGCATTATTCTTGAACATTTAAATAGAAATCGCGACTAAAAGAACTTTGTTTTTGTTTTAGAGATAACCAAGAATACTCATATAAAGTGGTCAATTTTAGGTGGATATTGTGCTATATAACTCACACCTTACAAAGAAATATAATGCAAACATTAATGTATGGAAGTTTCCTTTGATTAACACTAGAACGTACTAAGTTTCAATAACCCTTAAGGTATCAAACTACGTTCGGAACCGTGATTTTGCAAAAGTGTATAAATGGATAACATTTATGATATTTAGTGTCACTTAGATTAGAATACATGTATAAAATTGTTTTAAGGCCATTTTGATACAAAAAATTTATTTAAATACAATATTTCGGGAAAAAATAAACTTAGAATAACTTTTTTCAAAATGTTTTCCTTTTGTGAAAAATGCTTCTATTAAAATAATATTTTGCCTGTATTCAGCTCAGACCTCTGTACAGAGGCTTAAATAGAATTTTTGAAACGCATAACTTAGAAGTCAGTTTATCCATGTTTTACGAAAACAGAAGGGATAAATTTTAAGAAAATACGCCGATAATTATTTCAAGCGGTTGTAACTCTGAATATAATGTGAATTTTTAAAAAATCATAGAAAAATCAAAAATTATAGTGAGATACCTTAAACGTAAACCGCTGTCATTTCGACACTGCGATATAAAATATATAAAGTAATTGTTGTAACTAAATAACTGTAGGGCTACTGCTCAGTAGAGTCTAGTTTTAAGACTTTTTAATATTATTGTTGTACAACAGCTTTGTCCCAAATATGCCAAGAACATTACTATTATGCGGTATCTACTCCGTGTCATCCCTAGCGACATATATATCAAGCTTTACTGAAATATTATCAATTTAATCTGCACTTTCTTCAGATTTTTCGCAGTCACTTTCCCTCAATCTTATGTTTTCATCAAAATCTAAATTAGAACAAGACAGCTCACCACCATTTGATTCATTCTCAGAAATCTCTCGCAATAAATTAACAATTTCATTAGGGCTTAGACCATTTCTACGAGCCAGCGTTTCAGGGTGTGTACTCTGTACTAAGTTCGAAAATCGAATGAATTTTTTTCTTAAGAGCAAATAACCATATGATATGTAACGAAACACTTAGGCACTATAATTTTAAAAAAAAATAGATTCGTTTCCACAGTGAACCCTAAAACACTGTATTCAAAGTCAAATAAATGCTTTATAGTTCTTTGTGAAGTTTATTTTACTAATAGTAATGATGAACGACACCTATTTATGATGAAAAACTGCCTTGATGTCCAAATGACACCAACTAACCTTGTAGACACACACACACAGACAAATTTAATTGTAAAATTTATACTAATTAACCTATAACCACTTTTTTTACTGTTTAATTACCATGGAAAATAATTAAAAATCACGAAACATTTTCAAATTCCCGACAAAAATAAAGAAAGGAGAATAAACTGAACAGACTTTGGTGTTAAATTGACTTCAATAGACGTTTTAGTATTAATAAATATTTATATCGCAGAAGTGAAAAATTAATTAGTATCAGGCAAAAACGGTTAACCCGCGATAACTCGCGCGGGGTGTTGTGTACACCCCAGCAACAAGAAAATCCTCCCAGGATTCTAAAAAGAATGCGCAGAACCATGATTTTTTCTGTAGCTGCACATTTTAGGTCATTGAACTTTCAGGCTTGATGCAATTCGTCTTTCTCGAACGATTGGAATGTAATGACCTTCAAAAGTTTATCTGGGGGCTGAGAACTCCCGTGAGAAGTTGAGCATTTGTATACAGTATTCTCTGAATGTTTGGAAAATGATTAAAATATTATTTTTCTACTTTCTACTATCATTATCTCATCAATGATAAAGTATATTTATTACTGGTTTATACGTTTTATATACCGGTTTATGAAAAAATATAAAATTATGTGTGTTAAAATGAAAATTTTGTATGTTTAGTTTAAATTAATGTTAGTCTCATTTGTATGCAATAACTTTAATAATTTTATTTGTATAATACAAAAAACATCTTGTACTTTATAAATATGTATCATAACGACTTAATTTAATTTTCATAATTAAATACACGTGTTAAGAAAAAGTTTGGGGTGTTCTCTACACCCCGCGAGTGACCACGGGTTAATAGGTGAGTTAATTATTTTATAGGAAAGCAAAATGTTTTGATAATTCTTCTTAAATAAGATGATCGATGAGAGATAAGATTTAGATTTAAAAAGAAACATTTTAATTGCACACAATCATTTTACTATTTGATTCTTATTTTAATATTCCTCTATTAAAACTCTGTTTTAATGCAATAAAGACCGTCTTTATAACACGCCTGAAAACTATTAAAATAATTATGTCAGGAAACTTGGCATATTAAGCTTTTTTAGATAACTATTTTTTTTTTATTTAAAAAAAGAATTACAAGCAAGTGACATAATTTTTCTAAAGTCAATTCATAATTAGAACAACAAAAAAAACTTTTTTATTTTAATTGTATTTATTAAATAATTACAATTAATATAAATATGAATATTTATATCAAATAATCAAGATATTCAGTGGTAAAATAAAACACAATTGTCCTTGCAATTTTCCATTTTTCTTTCTATTTAGGGTGTTGGACAATTATTTTTGTTTGTTACTATCTGTTCATTCAATAAATGTAATTATTCCAACAAAATAGCATGTATAAAAAAGAAATAACATTTTCAGAAATTAGGCCATCTCAGGTGGGATTCGAACCCACGTTCTTTGGATTAGAGGTCCAATGCGCTATTACTGCGCTACAGGAACACAACGAGCGATTTTCCTTCCTATTTATGGTATTGAACTGTTATTTGTTTTTTTCAACTATTTATTCAAAAATTTAAAAAAAAATTAATGAATTAATATTCGAAAAAATGTATTAATATCAAGTGTCATCCACTACAAGTTTAAAACAATGCATTTGGACTTGAGTGGATGAATAAAAATCTGGAAGAAAAACACATTGCATTATTACATGCGCCTAGAAAACCAAATAAACAAGTGCGAATCTTACGAACTATTCGGAACTTCGCATTCTGACACAAAAATTAAAGAACTTTTTTCCCCTTGTCCAATTAATATTAAATTCAAAACTTCCTAAAATTAAGAAATTAAACTCACTCACGAAGTACATTTAAAATTTAACATTTTTTTACTAGGATGTATGTTTCTGAGTGAGTAAGTGACAATTATATAAACATCCCATTATAAAGCTCATCAAGTGCTATTGGTTATGGATCTTGTAGTTTCGAACGATGGTCTAGTGACGAGAAAAACACTTGAGTAGTCACTGTCCTCTTCTAACTTTCACACCAAGAACATTTGAACCTCGACAAACTTAACATGAATCAACAGTCTCTACTAGGTGTGTCTTTAGTGGCACCAGGACTTCAACCCGTAAACTTGACCACTAGACTACGTGGCCTCACACTTTTCGAGATAAACGTATTCGTATATAAGCCAACCCCGCTTTAAAAATGGGCAAAATTAAGGGCTTATACATGGAAATAAACTTGCACACGCGCATATATGTATATACATATATGCAATTGAATTTTGTGTACATTATAAACATTAAACCTGCAAGAACTTTAAAAAAAAAAAAAAACTTAAATATAGTCGACTTTTAAACCTTATTAAAAAAACGTTGTGTTACATGTAACTTATTTTCTAAAGAAAAGGCGATTGTTGTTAAATATAGTCGTTTTCTTAAAATAGTTATATTTTATTAAAAAAGTAAAAGCAATTATTGTACATAAATTTATGTTTATAAATATTCTTAATAAATTATAAATTTAATTTTATTAATTTTTTCTTAAAAAAATAATTACAGTCAATGCTATTAAACATAATGATTGTAATTTAATTTTTTTTTAGCTCTAAAAATATTAAGTACGAAGCTTAAGATTATATCTTTAAATGAAAAAAAAAAATGTTTATTAGAATTGAAAAGTTTTCCCTGCAAAAATATCTTTATCACTTCTTAAAAATGGCAAATTATGCTTTGAAGCACCGAACACGACTTTTAAATTGATTTGCCTTTTACCTCAAATACATTTTTAAAATGTTATCTAATATTCAAGTATAATTTAAATCTATGTAGCAGACTGATAAGACATAGTTCCTTTACAATCTTTAGATAATTTCATCGTCTTTCAAAGAGGAACTAATCTCCATGCACTCTTTATTTGGCAGAGATCCAAACATTTGTAAAGAATAATTGAGATTTCGTTTAAAAACGCAATTTCATTCGATTTATTTATTCAAGATTTTCATAGCTCGGTCTCAAACTTTCAATGTAGTTGTAATGGATGCGGTTGATTCGGCTGCTCCAATAAAATTATAGAGATCTAATAGAACCAAAAATGAAAACTTTTGTCTGGAAATTGAGTTTATTTTATTAATTAATAGGATCATCGGAAATGTACTCAATCTAATGTATCCCAAATTTAATTAAGTAAACTAAGTCTAAAATAATTAATTTTCAATTACTTAAACAAATTTGTTTACTTAAGAAGAAAAATAAAGGCTATTAGACAGTGCAATTGGTTAGAACTATTTGCCTCCCTCATGTAGCTTAAAAAATTCTTTAAAATAGAAAATTAATTAATTAAGAATATTATGCAGCGCTTCTCTTGATGCTTTATCCAAGGAAATAAATCCAAGAAATAATTTAAATGCGATAAAAGTAATGATAAAAAACTTAATTCCAGCTTTTAATTTCCTTATTTTTTCAATCAAATTAAAATTACTACAAATGAAATTTATGGCGATTAATAAAATAAAGGAGCAAAAACTATGTGCATTAAAGCTTTGTATTGTTATTAAAGATTACGTTTTATGCACTCCACAATTTATATTTTATTTATTTATAAAAATAAAAGCAATCATACTTTAAAATCAAAACTAATTTTTCTTTTTGACCTTACAAGTCTTATAATTATGTTATTGAGTGCTACATTAGTTAGTACTGTTATACGTTTGTAAAATACGTAATATTTTTTTAATAGCATTTCATACATGTGGTTGAATAACTGATTTATAAATCTTAAAGTCATGCATTCCATTCTGATTTTCAGGTAGTATATATGTATGTGACTTGTAGCAGAAAAACGCCTTCATCAATATGTATAAATAAATTCAATACGAATGTCAAATTCTTCTAGAGCC